ACCAAACACTCTCTTAATATATGAAACAGCAACAATAGGCGTACAATTTTTCCTCCCAATTCAACAACAATTAATTGACACACGGCCTCGAATATTGTGTGGCACATGCTTAAAATTCTTGAGGGCCTCTTGGCAATGCCGCAATGTCACCACGTTTAATCGTTGATATTTTAATATGTATTGGTAAAAAAATACCACTATGTCTCGTGGCTCGTGCCTTGTGTGACTAGTTGGCTAATGCCTGCAGGTAGTACGTAAAACCAAGTTTTTTATTTGAAAATTAAATTGCAACTTACAATTTTTTACTCCCCTTGCAACAACAATTACATGACTCATCTCCTGGGACCTTATGGCAATGAAACTACGGAGTAATCAACATTATGAGACCTTAATTAGTTTTGAGGGATCAAAAGAGCCCCGTTTATGAGATTTTGGTGGCTCCGGACAAAGATATAAATTGGGACTCTAATTAACATATACAATATTTTAAAATAAATAAAAATTGGGTATGCAAAACAAAATATATATATATATATATATATATATATATATAGAGGAAGGCTCATATAGGAACCCTCCTCTATATAAGAACCCATTATATATAAGAACTAATCTGGACCGTGAGATTTGAATAGACCGGACCGTCCAAAATGAATAGATTAGTAATGACACTTTGGTAATTTCAGCTGCACCCTTACCCCTCTAGATCTTTCTCCTCCTTCACTCATAATATGTTACAAGTCTTTCTTTCTCTTCACTCTTCTCATAATTCTTGCTGCAAATCCTCTCAATCAACGCAAGTTCATGAAATTCTTCAAGAAATTAAGGTTTGTCATTCAACTTTTATAATTTCTATTCTTACTTTTATTGAATTTATGTGTTCGTTTTTAATATTTTTGATTTAGTTTCCTTGTATTTTGTTCGATTTTTTTTTGGTTTTTTTCCCGTCAATTTCGAACAGATCTTAGCAGAATTTCGCAATTTTTGATTTTTTTTTCTTCAAATTCAAACAATTGATTATAGATCCGTCAATTTCGAATTGATCTTTCCAGAGTTTTTGATTTTTGATATTGTGTTTGATTATATGCTAATTTTTTTTGCTTCATTTATAATTTTTTTTGCAATTTTTTTGAATCAATTTTTGATGATTTACTGTTTTTTTGTACAAAATGTGATGTGTCTGTTATTTTTTGCAACTAATTATGTAATTTCTAAATGAATGAAATGACTTCTGTGATTTGTAAATAAGCTTAGCGTGTTCCAAACTATTTTTCAGCATGTTCTAAATTAGTTATACGCTCTTGTTGTGCTCTTAATTGTTAGTGATAGCATTTTCATGATCTATTGGGTGGTCGGTTGGCGCTACTCTTGATTATACACAAGATGTTCCCAATAAGAGGGTCCTTGCTTTATAGGTGATGGAAGTTTCCAGTTATTCTTATAAATGAAGTCTTTTCCTTTTGTGTTATCCTAGCTAATTTTGGTGGTGAAGCAGAATATATATTTTTGGAATAATTGATCATGTTCTGAATAATTTGTGCATATGTTCTTATGTTCTAAAGTCTAAACTATAAAGTAAATATCCTAAACTTTATATTGTACATGTTATGTTGCACTTGGTGTTGGCTATATTAGTTGCCTATATTCTTTCAAGTGACTTGTATCAAGAATGAAAAAAGTGTGAAGTACTAAGTGCTGGAACCACTTTCAAGTAAATTTTTTCTTCTGGTGTTGTGTTATATTGTGCCTGCTACTGTTTTAAGCCGAATGTCCCCTACCAGGCTGCCACAACTCATCACATGTCTCTATTTTATACTTGTATTTATGAAAATGAGAATGGCTGATATATGATCAATTTGCATGCTGCAGCCTGTCATTCAAGATAACTTGATTTCGTCATTGAACTTGGGTTATCTGATGTATACATACAGAGTCGTCAATCGTGTCTTGCTTATGATATTTATATGTCGTTTTTAAAGTGTGGAAATTATTGATTACTATGTAAATATAAGTTCTACGATATGAAGTGATTTCATAGGAATTGATGAAAGAATGTGCGAATTAAAAATAGTACTCTAATAATGTGGATTACAAAATTTGTAGTGTTAGAAAGTGGTAAGTGATGAATGCTCATTACTTGAGACTTTGACAAGTCAGTATCCTATTGATTACTTGAGAGTTGCCTGGTTGGTTTCTTGTTCCAAATTTTATTCTTGTATATGGGTTCTACTTGGGGGAATTTTGATGATGGAGATGTAGACATGTGGATGCTTGGGCTAATTATTATAATAAGTGCATAATTTTTTTTTGACAAGATAATAAGTGCATAATTTTGAACACAAAGTAGAATATGACTTTGATTGGCCTATACTCATTCTCTCTATAAAATTTATTGGCCTATAGTGTACCACTTGTAAATAGGCTTGAAAATATAATATGACTTTGATTACTTGCACACTTTGGCATACTATATCATCACTATGCATATCATGTAAGTACTACATGTATACTCTTCTTAAACAACCTCACATGATATGCATATCGATTATGAGTATACTTTCTGATTTAAGCACTACCCTTTATTGTTAGTCATATTTTTGTCAAAACTTGCTTGGTTAGCATTAGTCTTAACATGGGATAGTCTTTGTCTTCCCAAAAAGTGTACTAAAGGACTGCTATGAGCTAACCTAATGTCTATCTTTTTAGTAATTTTTTTAGTTTAAATGCTTTATATACATTAGCCTACTAGCTCAACGGGTAGAGCATTGTGCAAATGCACAAAAGATGTGGGTTCGAATCCCACGTAGGTTCATTTTCATAGTGTGGAGACAAGAGTTTGTATGTGAGTTAAGTTGTAACAAAGTTTCTATAGTCGTTAATCATATCAACCAATTTATTCTTGTACAAAATATAACTTAGAGCTAATTTAATTTTCCTTTTAAAGTTATTTTTAGAATTAACCTATGTAGGAATCGAACCTACATCTTCTATGCATTTGCATAGTGCTCTGCCAATTGAGCTAAAAGGTTTTAGCATATGTTCTAAAATTAACTGAATTTGTTCTAAAATTTATTGCAAATGTTCTAAAATTAGAACATAGGAATTGTTTAACAGAATATTGCTATGGAACGAGTTGACGCACACCAGCAACCACCTATTCAGGTGTACGAGAGGAGGCACAAACAAAAGAGCAAGGGACAAGATCAACAGCAGCAGTAAAGTGTAATGAGGAAAAGACAACGAATTTTAATGATCCACTCACTGGCAGTACAGGACAAAATATTAATGTTAGAGTACTTTGTGAGAGAAAGCTTGATATATATAAGTCTACTTCTGTTTTAATTTTTTTTTTCCAATGTTCTAAATTTAGTCTACTTATGTTCTAATTTTTTTTTTCCTATGCTCTAAATTTAGTCTACTTATGTTCTAAAGTTTTTTATTCCTATGTTCTAAATTTTTTCTACCTATGTTCTAAAGTTTTTTTTCCTATGTTCTAAATTCTTTTGCCTATGTTCTAAATTTAGTTTACTTATGTTGTAAAGTTTTTTTTTTCCTATGTTATAAATTTTTACTACCTATGTTCTAAAGTTTTATTTTTATTTTTTTATTTTATGTATTAAATATTCTTTTATCTACGTTCTAATTTTTTTTCCCTATGTTCTAAATTTAGTTTACTTATGTTCTAAAGTTTTAATTTTTTTTCCTATATTCTAAATTTTTTCAATCTATGTTCTAATTTTTTCCTATGTTCTAAATGTTTTCTACCTATGTTCTAAAGTTTTTTTTCCTATGTTCAAAATATTCTTTTACCTATGTTCTAAATTCTTTTGTCTATGTTCTAAATTTAGTCTACTTATGTTGTAAAGTTTTTTTTTCCTATGTTCTAAATTTTTACTACCTCTGTTCTAAAGTTGTTTTTATTTTTATTTTTTATGTTCTAAATATTCTTTTACCTATGTTCTTATTTTTTTTCCTATGTTCTAAATTAGTCTACTTATGTTCTAAAGTTTTTTTTTTCCTATGTTCTAAATTTTTTCAACCTATGTTCAAAATTTTTTATACCTATGTTCTAAATTTTTTTCTATGTTCTAAATTCTTTTGCCTATATTCTAAATTCAGTCTACTTATGTTCTAAAGTTTTTTTTTTTCCTATGTTCTAAATTTTTACTATCTATGTTCTAAAGTTTTTTTTTTTTTTTTTTTTATGTTCTAAATATTCTTTTACCTATGTTCTAAATTTTTTTTCCTATGTTCTAAATTTAATCTACTTATGTTCTATATTTTTCCTATGTTCTAAATTTTTTCTACCTATGTTCTAAAGTTTTTTTTCCTATGTTCTAAATATTCTTTTACCTATGTGCTAAATTTTTTTTTTCCTATGTTCTAAATTTAGTCTACTTATGTTCTAAAGTTTCTTTTTTCCTATGTTTAAAATTTTTTACATCGTTCCACGATCATTGCCAGGCTCATGGAAGTAAGCCATATCATGTGTTACATTATTTCCACGTTTTTTCACAAAAGACCAATCTAAGCATCAAAATCAGAATTCTAAACATAAAATTTTAATATTTCATCCGATTTTTAATTACTTAATCTATTTTAATACTCTAATACGGCCGAAAATGAAAAGTGGAGGAACGAGGGAGTATCATCTAAAACCAAATGCAAGGAACTCAACACCTCTGAGTCTCTGACTTGTTGCGGAGTGCCTCGATAACACTTAGACAATCGCTCTCCACCACCAAACGCCTCATGTCAGTCTCCTTCCCCATATGCAGCCCCTAGAAAACAGCCTTGGCTTCCCCCACCCTCGATTCCCACTTTTCTAAGCTTTGGAACGCAGCACACCAAAGGATCTCCCCTGAACTTCCTCTGCATACCGCACCCAGCCCATAACATCTTTACAACATACAACACCTAAATTTAGAACATACGACACTTAAATTTAGAACATGATCATGAACATAATCGAACATGTAATTTAGAACATTGATACGAAGTATAATAATGCTAATCAATTAAACTAAGTGACGACAGGAAATACATTGTACTTGTATTTCAATCCTCTGCATAAAATATACAATCATCAAATTTTGTAAGATAACACACCTGAACTTGTAGCTGAAGCTGTTTTAAATATTCGATAGCTTCATCCAACATTGAAGCCTTATCCGTCTGCCATAAAAAAAAATATTGTAGTAAAAAACATTGATAAAATGGAAAAATAATTAATAATTATAAGTAGATTTAGTAGCACCTTATTGGAGTTGGGAATCAATTTTTGCAGTGCTTTCATTTTCTCGTTGATCCTCTGCCGCCTTCTCTGTCCACAATGAAAATATCAAAAAAATCTAACGAAATTGCAAAAAAATCTACTGAAATTGAAGAACAAAATAACATATCCAAAACAATGTATAGACGAAAACAATGTTTTCGAACATATAATGCACATAAGCAATAAATATCTAACGAAATCGAAGGAATATGTACCTGAATTTGAAAATTGCGAAATCTAGGGCTTTATCGCCAAAATTTGTACTTTTATTGAACAATTTGACTTGTTTTATGATCCTTGATGTTGAATTTATGCAAAAAAAAATGAAGGAAAAATGTTGAAAATCCTTCAAATTGCAGCTTCTATGGAGATTTTTAGGAGTTTGAGGAGAGAGAAAGTCATGAACTACTACGATAATCGAAGAGAGAGAAAGTTAGGTTGTGTGTTTTTTGAGGAAAGATGGTTTTTATTTTGTTTTAATCCTGACCGCTCATCCCAATCTAATCCTACGGTTGAGATTGGTTCTTATATAACTAGGGTTCTTATATAAGAAGGGGTTCTTACCGGATCCCTCCCCTATATATATATATATATATATATATATATATATATATATATATATATATATTATTACACATAATAATCTTTAAAAACATTAAATTTTATATAGATAAAACATTGAAATCAAAGCCTAAGCGTTCATGATGATGCCTAAATTGAAATGGTGATTGTTAAAACTTTTAAAACTTCTACTCCATAATAGTTTATGATGATGCCTACTTGAAATGGTGATGATCAGATGATACACGTACTCTCTGCTACGATAATCCTTATTGTCATTAGCCCATTTGTTTTCCCTCGATTTCAAAAACGACTTGCTTTGATTATTTATATCTGTAATCGAATTTATAACATGGTATAAAAAGTTGATATTTTAAAAGTATGTTCTTGAACGAATCTAAAAGAAGTAAGTGAAAGAGTTGAAGGATGTGTTATAACTTCGATCGAGAGGTCTTTAACTGGTTCAAGCTATCCAAGTAAAATATTAGACATAAGAAACAACTAACTTCTTTGAAACGCAAAAGAAATGGTTAGGGATGTCGACATATTTATGCGCAAGCTGATGATGTTTTATATGTATAATATTTGGTCTCTTATTTATATACTTGTATGTTTTAGGGTTGTGAATGTCCAACTTTTAACGAGTGTTGGAGGTAATTTTCGAACATCTAAAATGCTGGAAATTATTTTCTGATTATTCATTGGTGATCGATATGGTTGCACAGTAATTTGGTGAATGAAATTTGGCGGGATAATTATCGTTGTAGTTGCAATGCTACTTAGCCTTGGGAAACTTAGTTCATACACTTCCACCACTAAATATACATTTTGATCATGATATGTGCCAATCCTTAGGGCTAATTAAAAGTATTGAATACATCTCATGTAATAGAATTATTTCTCTCTTTGTTCCAAAATATCTGACACATTCAACTTTTCCCACATGCCAATGCACTAATTTGACTTTATTTTTATATATTTAAATATACATGAAAATTACTTTTAAAATTTTATCATGAAACTTTATATTAATACCTATCTAACAACATATTTTAAGATAAAATATGTATTTATTATGTTAGTAAAAATTATGGTCAAAGATAATACATGAATAGTGAAAAAAGTCCAACGTCCCATATATTTTGAGATGGAGGAGTAGTAATAATATATGGAAAAATCGCTATTTAGTCCATGTTTGCGCTCAATGCTTTATATTTGTTATTTATTTCTATTTTTCAATGATATTTCTTTCTGCTTTACATTGTGGCATAACTATTCGTTTATTGCCACAGATAGATACTAGTATATAAGTAAAGGATTATCATTTGAAGTAACTGATAACATTGTTAATCAAACTCAACAAAAAGCAAATATTAATGCGAACGACAAGAGTCGGAGGGTGTATTACCATTTGAAGTAGGCATCATCATAAACTATTAAGAATTTCAAGATTAAGCACTTCTCGATCTCTCAAAATTAATTAAAATCTCACAATGCTAAGTACCATCACCACGAGGCCCTCGCGCGAGGATTATTTACACAATATACGAGACCTTGAGTTGTGTAATTGTTGTTCATTTAGGAGTAAAAAATTGTACGTACGTTATTGCTAATATATTTTAAATGAGGTCATACTAATAATATAAAGTGATTAATTAATATTTAATAACTATTACGAGGTTAAGGGTGATCCTAATCTACTATTTTGTTATCATAAAACACATGCACGTACACAACCCCGTCTATAAAAGGATCCTCCTCATCTCTTCTTATTTATCATTATCAAACAAACACAAGCAACAAAAGGAAAAAAAAAAAGGTTCAATTGCTTAATAGTAAGAAACAAAGTGAAAAAAATGGAGATGAAAAAGGCACTAACTTTGCTAGTTTTGGCAACCTTTATGGTTGTTGCTAATGCGAGAATATTCGAAACCAAATCCGAAATCCGGCAAGTTCGGGACCTATTCCCTGAGCCCCTTGCAAGCATTTTGCTTCAAGAGGTTGCTAAGAATGGCGGCAATGGTCTGAATGGTGGCAGTTGTAGAGATTTAGACCAATCTTGCATACCATACGTCGAAGGGTACCGGTGTTGTTCGGGCTATGACTGCTCTCCCTACCCCGTTGTGTCGATTATTCCTCCCGGTATTTCAATGGAACTCAAATGTGTTAAACTTCCATTCGTCAGCGCTGCCTAATGATCTTCTTCGACGTCCTAGTCCACGAATAAATAAAGCAATTATAAGTGTACTAGTGTCTAGGTTATTGAAGCTTCCTTAATAATCACTCCCTCCGTTTCCATTTGTATGTTATTATGAGTGTTGGGTTCATCTCCAATTCTCGTTCATCAATAAATTTCATGTAGGCTATGCGAGTGTAATGTGCTTTTGGATTTTAGGTATGTTCTAGCTAGTGTTCTACACTATTTTAGTAATTTTTATGTTGTGATTGTTGCCTTTGTTGGTATTTTGCGAACAAGTATTCAAGTTTCTTTGAATGATTTAATGGTAATCATCCTAAAAATGACTATTATTATACTAATTTTTATTTGCTGATTTTGATTATTTTTTTTTGTAGTTTTACCCATGAATATTCCAAAAATCACTTCTAGCATTTTAGATATTCGAAAATTACCTTAAATACTGATGTGGATTAAACCATGGGATACTAGCAATCAGAGTTAAATCTAATTCAACAAAGTTTTGACCTTTTTGACTAAAGAAGAAGAAAAGCAACGATAATTTTGGTCTTTTCCAAAGAAAAACATCGTTTTGAAATCAATTTGATTCACTCGAACTGACTCACAATTGTCATGTTTTCATAAACTCAATCACTCTAAATTCTCATTAATGAAACCAAATATTCATAGACACATAATCTCATGCCTGATAGGATTTTTTTGTAAAGAATGCAGAATAAACAAACCTAAAAGATAAAATTAAATCCTAACTAAATCTAATAATATCTTATAAAAAAAATAATCATTCATAATCTTTATCCTAATAAGTAAATCATACGAATATAGAAAAATAAATTCTTAAGAAAATAAATCTAGACTTTTAAATTCTTGATGCTTAATCCGTATCAAATACTTATAATATGATGTTGCATATGTACAAAGTCATCTCCTCTCTAACAAGTAAGGGTATTATTCAATACCTAATACCTAAACACATACAAGTATATACTATAAATAAGGGATTATCATTGTCAGCAAAAAATGGTTATGAGTTTATGTAATTTTTAACCATTGTCAGTAAGGGAATTTTATTATCTCAACTAGAAAAAGTAAAGTTTCAACCACCATGCTATTGGTAAGCTTGAGCATAATAATATACTTTAATTTGTATTCTATTTATGTAATTTTTAACTAATTTGCACCTTTGTTCTTGGTTCCCTACCAAGTCCTACGGTAGCTCCGCCCATGGATATGTCAATTTCTCAAACAATTTCTTCTGCGATTCCAAGAAGTAGGCTTCGTTACTTGGATAGCTTCAACTAGTTAAACATAGGCGGAGGGAGAGCGGTACAAAGAAGGAGGACAGCTGTTCCCCACTTTTAAAAAAAAAAAATTAAATTTGGAAAATTCTACTTAGTAACCTTCAAATGTTCACTTTTTCACGCTATGTCCCTTCTTTTAAAAATTTCTTGTGGTAACCTCAAGGTCTATTTAATGACTATGTTGTAACTTTGCCGCAAGGCCTCCGTTACATGCTGCCGTTAGTGGGGCCCACTTTACATCTATTTAATTTTTTTTTTCTCGATTTTCGTGCTAAAAAAGTTCCGTTAAAGGCTTTAGGGGTCATTTTAACCCTTAAGGATCCAAATTGAGCTCGGATTTTGCAAAAAGAGAACGTAGAAACCCCGTTTTGTGAATTCGGATTTCTGTAGTTAAATTTAGAATTCACAAAACGGGGCTTTTACGTTTTCTTTTTTTTTTTGTCAAATCCGAGCTCAATTTGGACCCTTAAGAGCTAAAGTGACCCCTAAAACCTTTATCAGGATATTTTTTAAGCACGCAAATTGAGAAAAACATATTAAAAAGTGCAAAGTGGGTCCCACTAACGGTGACCGTTACAAAGTAGGATAACGGCAAGGTCACTGTTGAGACATAATTGTAAGTTGAAGGTTACAGTGTGTAATTTTCAAAAGAAGGAGCCACGGCTTGGAAAAGTCAATATTTGAGGGTTATGGTGTAGAATTTCCCAATAAATTTTGTAAAGAATATATTGGTAATATTAGATATTATTAAAATTTGGATTTTCTATTGTTTGAATGATAATATTTTATATACTTAATTCAAATTACTTGAATTGTTTTGTTAGAATTAAAACCTCACACTCTTATTCTAGATAGAATAATAGAAATTGAAATTATGTTAGGATGTTAAAGTTAATCGGTAGCTATTTACTTGTTAATTGTGTTATTGTCTTACAATTTTGATTGTTTGATATCATAATTGGATTATTGATTATTTTTCAATTTGAATAGGACATGTCAAATGTTCACTTAAATCAAACAAGTCCAAAGCTCGGTAATTACCTGATTTTCGGCAAGTTTAACAGTTGAAATCCCAAGGAGATGATCCCTTTATTTACTTTCCCCTAAACTCAATAAAATGATACGAAAAATAAGAGGCTCAAGTATAAAAAATATATGATGTTGAACTTATTCAGTTATTCCTCATGGTCCAAGAAAAAGAATGAAAATAATGGATAATCCCAATTCAATTAAATGAGTTCAAATTTTGTGCCTTTATAGAGAAAATTGGTTCAAAAATAGAAATGGTTCAATAAAAAAATAGAAAAGGTATTGAAAATATTTTTGACTTCCCTCAAAGTTTCATCATATTGAATTGTATATATGTTTAAATATTTTGGATAACAACTAATAATCTATTCAGTGATTTCACTCAATGCCACTGAGTTTTTTTTTAAAATTCACCAAATGCCATTAATTTTCACAAATTTACCAAATGCTACTGAGCTTTTAAAAAATTCACCAAATGTCGTTAATGA